AGGAGGAAGGGGGAGTTTAGGGACACCACCCCCAGGTGCTCTCCCAACCCCAGACAAAACCTCATTTCTTTCAGTGTCCAGCTTCTACAAGTTACTTTGACCAGCCTCAGTTTCCTTAGTCTCTACCTCTTTGTGCTTCTATTTCCTCAGCTGTAAAATGGGGTAATAATACCAACAAAAGCAAGCTGCATGTGTAAAATGCCTTGAACACTTCTGGCACCCAAGAAACACCACGTTAGCTCTTGTCAACATCATTATCATTTTTATTCCTGCTAGAGCTACTCCACCTTCTGCGGCACGCCCTCCCAAATTCCCGCCTACCTGCCCCCAAGTGAAGCTGGCTCTTCTCTCTCTCACACACACACACAGTCTCTTTTCTTCTGCACAGATGTGTTTTCTCATCTGATGGCATTATTTTAAAGTCTCCTGGTTGTACGACTTTGACATTCTCTAAGGAGTGACCCATATTACTTGGAAGCTTCTGGGACACAATAGCCCTTCTTGGCCCAGTTCTGGGGCCTACAGTGGGGATCTTCCCAGGCCCCATTGCCTACCTTGGGCTGGCACTCCACTTGCAGGGCCCACTGTCAGGGGTGCTTGTCCTCTATCCTGGGGTTTGATGGCAGCTGGCACCTATTGCTGCTGTACAGCCTCTTGGAGAATCACTCACATCCATGGAAACCACTCAGCAAAAAGATGCCCAGGGTCTACCGGCATCAGAACATTGAACACTGACAACACTGGAAACCCTGAAAGGCAGCTGCCACAAAGAAAGCTCCTGCAAAGCGGCTTTGCCTCTGCCCTGCTGTCTTGTCTGTCAGCCATCTACTCCCTCGCCTGCTGAAACCCTAAGGACATACATGGAACTATCAGAGGATCTCTCGAAGGGTTTGCTTTGCTTCTGCCACTCCCTGTCACCAATCTGGGCCTCCCTTGGGGACAGGGAGTGAGGCTGCGGGAGAAAGTTCAGGCGACTGACTGTAGCCAGGTCACCTGGTATCTGCCTCTTCTGGATACTGCTGGCAGGGGCACACAGGGACTGAGCAGAGAGGCTGGAAAAAGGCACAGGCTGGAGATTTTCCAGGGAGAAGGAAGAATGTGCTCACCTCCTGTCAGGATTCTTGCTTCCAGGAGATTCCAGTCCCACCAGAACAAACCAAGGGAACAGCCCTTGCCTCCCTGAAGCAGGGACTGGTTCCTGGCACTGCAGCCTCCAACTATCTGTGTGGCTTTGGGCTTGTCTCCTGACCCTCCCAGGCTTCAGGAGTCTTATTCAGCAGGGAGGAGGGTGGACAGATAATCCTACAGTGCCTTGACCCACTGGCATTCTGTGGGACTCAGGGATAGGATCTGGCCCCTGTGGCCTTTGTCCTGGGCTCTGGCCCACCTGTGTGCTCTGCCCTCTGTGGTCGCTGAGGAAGGCTGAACATGAAGGGGAAATGTATTCCCTTTGCTTCCAATCCAGGCACCTCCCCACCCCACCCCACTCCCCTCAGCCCCAACCCCAGCATCAAGCAGCCTGTCATGTTTACAAAATTGGTCTATCAACCTACTTGTCCTGAGCTCAGAGACTGAGCTCCAGCCTGTCAACATCAGCCAGAGGCAAAGGGGAAAGTTTTCTGATGGAGTGGCTAATCCCAAATAAACAGAATGTATTTGGCTTAATTTCCCATCAGGCATCCAGCTTTCATGCTGGGCTTCGTTTTAAAGGACAGAATGGGAACTTCTAAAAGTAGTCATCTGCAGTGGCCCCATAAGTAACGAGGCTAGTTTGTGTGTAGGTTGAGGAATATCTCTGTTTTCACATCTGCTATTTGGGAGGATAACCTAGACCTTGCTTGAAAACAGTATTTCCCGACAACTAAAATCTGCTTAATGCAAGTGCATTTGTGTATTAGAAAAACATGACATTTTTCAATCTTTTGCTTCATAAGCCTACTTCAGCAGAGCTATAATCTTCTTCTTGACTATTTATTGAGTGTGCAGAAGAGAGACAGTATAGTGAATAAGCAAGACAGTGCCTTCTGGAGGAAATGCACTTTCTCAGTAGATGTGCTGAATGCTATGGTGAGAGAAAGCTTTGATTTCTTGGTTATTCCTAAACATCACCTTGTTCATGCAAGTTCATGAAGTATCCTTGTACAGCAGGAAGAAAAGCCCTTCTTGTGGCTGACTTCCTTTATAGCCTGCCATCCTCGGGCTCTAGGAGGTCTAGCTAGCAGGCTGAGGCCAACTTGGACTCAGCCTCACCTGCATGCCTGAGAAGTCAGCAAAGACCAAATGGGAGACCCAGAACTAGATGGCAACATGGAAGCCCTGCTGTTAAGAATCTGACTTTTGGTAAATTGAAACACTCTCCAAGTTTGGAGGAGACACTTACCTTCTAATTTATGTGTTTCACAAGATTACATTTTCATGCCTGGTGTAATCAGTTTCCCTTAGAGGAGAACACCTGTAAATAGACCATCACTATGGGTTAGGGAAGTCCCATAGTGCATTTAATCTGCTCTCTGTTTACTGATTGCTCACCTGGCCTCCCACACATATAACAACATAATTTCTCAGTGTATTTTTCCCCTTAGGTTCTGTTCACTCTAATCGCTCGGATCTCACGTTTGTGGCTGGCTCAGTGTAAGGAGCTTTTTTTTGGCAGTGAGCCATGGGTTCCTTCTCATTTTGCTTCTGAAACCTGATGTACCTTTCTCAAGGTACATCTGCCTTCCCTACCTTACACTCTCTCTGCCTTCCCAATCCTTTCAAGGACCAGCTTAAACGTGTTCCTTTTGTGGAAAGCCCACTCTAGCTAAAATCAAATGAGGTGGGCAGTTCAGCTAGCTCCTTCGCACATGTGACATAGCACTGCAGATTTCAAAGAACAACTCTTGTTTCCTACAACATACATGTCTAGGTTTAAACATTGTGCCAGCAGAATAGACTGCCTTCCTATAGACATAACTTGAGAGGTCTAATTTTGCGTTAACATGATATATAACTATCTTTTTTCTGTTTCATTCTAGGACTCCTATATGCCAATTGATGCTGTTTTTCAGGATGTAAATTCCTTATAAGGAGCGTTTCTACTAATCCTTTCTGGCACAATAGTCAATAGAATAGTACTTGCAGGCAGATCATTTAAATACTTTGATGGCACTTAAAATAGTCCTGCAAAACCTTTTAAAATTCATTTATAATCTCTAGCAGTTCTGGAAAGCATGATAAGATGTGATTTCTTGGTAAATTAAAAAAATCACATATATTGTTACCTTTCTTATAAAGTATGGGTACTTGCTCCAATTTGTAACTAGGGACAGGGGAGACACCATCCACCCCTCTTCTGCCCTTTTTGCTCCTTTTAGAGGTGGTTTTTGGAATGATGGTGGCATCTAGGTGATGGACTACTGGAGTTGGGACTACTGGAGGAATTGTTTATTTAGAATCTCCTAGAAATATTTTTTTTTAGGGATGACCTAATCTGGTTTTGATTTAGTTGTTGATTTTCACTTTTCTTTCTGTCTCTTCTCAAGACGCAAGGCAAGCAATGATAGGGATCGAATAAAGAGAAGACCACAATTCAAATTTACTTACAATCAAAGCCTGGGATTTTTCTGGTGGTCTAGTTTAGGTACAATGAGAAATTCTTCCCTGAAATGGAATGGACTGGTGTGTGGAGCTTCTCCCTTTCATTCTTCTCTTGCCCCACCCCCCTGCCTTAAGGAAATAGACACTTAGCCAGGGTGGTCAAGCAATCCCAACTTTGCAGCATTCTGCACATCCCACCCCATGTACTCAAAATGAATGCTCATTTTCCCTAAATGTGTACATGCCTCAGAACTAACCTGGATAAAATTAAGTCAGTCACCTCACAATGGGTTTTCTTTAATTTTTTGGTTTAAAGGGGACACTCCTTTAAACACTGGTAGGATTTCTTCAATAACTACAAAATGATTACATTGCATGTTAGCAAGTCAGCATTCCAATCAGACACAAGAACCTTCTTCACCTCTTAGAATAAATGATGTCCAAGGTGGTAATTTCCTAGGAGACAACTCCAACCGTATTTAAACAATGAGAGAAAGCACATAGCTGTGTGATAAGGTTTAAGCTTTCTGGTCACTAAGACAGGAAGATTTCTGAGAAAGAGGTTGAAATGCAATTTTATGATAAATGTATCTTTAAGCTCATTTAGAAGAATTCTAAGTTGAAAAAACCCACCCCCAAGCTTGCCTAAGAACTGGAACTGCCACCAGCCCTTACATTTCCACTTAATGCCTGAACTTGACCTACATTTGTTTGTTCCTTTGATTACTTTATGAATCAGGAAGTCAGGTTTTAAAAGTTTTGAGCCCCTCATATTTAACTGCTAACCTTCACCCTCAGGTTCTGAATTATCATGGCACTAGGACATTTTTATTAGCAGAGAAATAAAACGAAAAAGTAAGGTCTTTAAATGTTTTATTTTGTTCATTCTTCACAGCGCAAGGAAACAAAAAAAAAGTTAGAGATAAAATAAAATGCCAGGTAAATTCGGCTACTACCAATTTTAAAAAACCTTAAGTACAAAATTCAAAGCAAGCTGTTGAAAGGTCATAAAATAGCCTTGGGTGAAGTAATTTGTAACAAATCAAGACCGGTCACCTATGTCGTTCTTCAATTGCAAAGCTTGGAGAAGACCTGCGGGCGCGCTGGTCGAACACCCCGCGCGGGAAAGGGACAGTGAGAAAGCGCTACCCCGTCGTCCCCACAGTAGTAGGGGTGGCCAAGCCAAGGGCAGCTTGGAGCTCGGTTCTCCTCTGCGTCTTAATGAGAAAGGTAGTTAGCGATCGTGCTTTCTGACAAGACGGCCACTGTGAAATGTCTTGTTACCTATTTTAGTAAATCCGGAACGCCGTCTGCGTGAAAGGTGGTTGGTTTTTGTTTTTAAGCAAGCTCAAAGTTGGTTATGTTACCTCTGGGTAAGAGGGAACAAAATGAATCTAGAGTTTTAAACTGTTTCGTTGTTGTTTTACGAAAGAATATACCAGGATTTAGGAGAGAATAATCCCCGCCACAAAACACCTGCTTGTGCGATTCTCAAAAAACTGCACCTGAACAGCCGCAGAACAGAGCGGACCAACTTCCTAGCCCAACGCACGAAACCACCCTGGGGTCGTCACCTCCACTTTCCGCCGCCCCGCCGTGCCAACTATCCGGCCGCGGAGGATCCGTCAGCCGGCTACGCTCGGGGCCGTCTGCACCGACTACTGGTCGTTCTCGGCTTCCTGAGGCGGGGCAGCCTCCGTTGACAGCGCTTGGCTAGTGGGAACAAGTGTGCCTGTGACCTCTGGCCGGGGAGAAGGAAAAGAATCCTTCTTTCGCCCTTGGCGAGCAGTCCCTCGGCCCCTGGCTTGGTAGGTGCCGCCTCTGTGAGCGGTGGCACTTGGGGCTGGCCTCCCGCCGCACCCGGAGCAAGCCGAACCCAGCGCGCGGCGCCCTAAAACCCCCGCCACTCCCGCGAAGCGCACAACTCCAGGGGCTGCAGAGGCTGCGCTGGGTGAGAATGGGGTGAGAGCGTGCACTTGGTGCCCAGAGTAGCTGGAATCTCCCCGGAACCCCAGGCAGCCCAGTCGCAAGGTCGAACATCCGCTCCGGTCACTTTAATTTCCCCTGGGTGGGGGCATGGAAGGGGGCGCCCACCAATTCCCCTCCTCTGGACCAGAATGCCCTCCTTGACCAGCCGGGCTCTCCGCGCACAGGGCACGGTTTCGCGGAGAGGCTGGGCGGCCGGGCTGGGCTCACTTGGAGAACTGCGCCTGCACCGCGGCCAGGCCCAGGCCGGCCGGGAGCAGGTGCGGGAACTTGCAGACCGCGCAAGTGCAGAGGCCGGGGCCACCGACGCCGCAGCCCGCGCCGCCGGCGGGGAGTGCAAACTGGCCGTACGGCGGCTCATCGAGCGCCAGAGACAGGTACTTGGCTGGACGCAGCGCGTCGGGGGGCCCCATGGCGCCAGGCGCCAGCAGCAGGGAGCCAGGCGCCGCCGCCAGCAGCGGCAGGCCGGCCAGCAGCAGGCGCGGCGCAGCGGGCCCGGCGCCTTCGCCCAGCGCGCGCCGCAGCTCCTGCAGCGAGCTGCCCAGCAGCAGGATATAGTTGCGGGCAAGCAGTAGGGTGGCGATCTTGGAGAGCTTGCGGCCGGGCGCGCCCTGGCAGTGCGCCGCCGAGTAGGGCAGGATGACCTCGCGCAGCGCGTCCATGGCCAGGTTCAGGTCCTGCATGCGCTTCCGCTCGCGGCTGTTGATCTTGCGCCGCAGCTGCTGTTGCTGTTCCTCTTTGACGTCCGCCCGGGAGCCGCCTCCCGCGTGCGTCCCAGGCCCGAGCCCGGGTCCGGGGCCTGGCGGCTCTGCTGGCGCCTCGGGCTTCTCTCGCGCCGCCTTGGGGAGGAGGGGCACCGTCGTGGAGGAGGAGGAAGAGGAGGTGGAGGAGGGAGGCTGCCGGTAGCCCACCAGCTCGTACAAGGAGGCCCCGAGCTGCACGTCTCCGGGCCGCTGTGGCCTCAGCATGGTCGCAGGGGCCGCGTTCATGCGCGCCTGGGACACCGCATAGTACATCTGGTGGGCGGTGGGGGCGCCCTTCAGGAACGCCCCGGGGTGGACCCTTCGGCAAGCCGCCCCTCCCCGCAGACCGGCGCGCGGGTAGCCGATGGCAGGGAGGCAGCCGGCTTCCGACAGCTTTAAACCCGGCTTGGGAACCTGAGGGGCCGCGGGCCGCTGGGCTCAACCAATGGGGACGCGAGGCCGGGAGCAGGCATGCGCTCATTGGCCACCCGCCTCGGGCTGGCTCGCCGGAGCGCTGGCACTGCTCAAGGAGGTTATTGTGAGCGCCGGTGCTAGAGCCACAGGACAGCTCCCGCAGAGGGAGGGGAGGCATGGCTCCCTTTCCGGTGAGGCGCGGTTTTTCATGGAGGACTTGTTGCATTGGTGAGGCCAATACCATGTTTCAACCTCCTTCTTCCCTCAGCCTCTACTCTATTGTATATATATATATATATATGCATATTTGATTGTTTTAAATTGCAGTCAAGTACATATCAAGTTTACCGTTTTTACCATTTCTAAGGGTAGAGTTGAGTAGTAAGCACTTTCACATTTCTGTACAACCAATCCCAGAACTCATTTCATCTTGCTAAACTGTAACCCTATACCCATTAATCAGCATTTCCCCACCTGCTCCCCACTCCCCAACTCTTGGCAACCACCATTCTTCCCTCTTTGAGTTTGACTGCTCTAGGTGCCTCCTATAAGTGGAACCATACAGCGTTTATCTTTTAGTGACCAGCTGGTTTATTTCATTTAACGTGTTTTCAAGGTTGATCCATGTGGTAGCCTGTGCCAGGGTTTTCTTTCTTTTTAGGGCTGAATCATACTACATTTTACATCTCTACCACATTTTGTTTATCCATTTCTCCATGGACGGATGCTTTAGTTGCTTCCACTTTTTGGGTATTGTGAATGGTGCTATCATGAACATGGACATGATGTGTATGTGTTTTTTTTTAAAATACGTGACTTCCTGCCAGGTTTTGAAAACTAAATTTCTGGGTTCCAGGAATAATGATTACTCCCTCTCCTTCCCTCTGAATAAAAAGTCTCTGGGGACTAAGAAGCTTTTGGGGCCAGGTTTCTTTCCTTCCCTAAAGGGATGTGTGTTCTGTCTACCAGGGACTCAACTCTTGCTTAAGCAAAAAACTCACATGGGAATTGGCCTTCTCTCAAAAAATAGACAAAAATCCACTCACACACTCTTATCTGTTGAGGGTGGGACAGAACGTTTCTTTTCCCCAAATAAATAGGAGTACTTGGTAGTTGTGGAAGTTTTCTACTCCAACACCAGGGCATACTACTGCAGCCTGTCATCATAGCATGGAAAAATGGTATGGGGAAGAAAGCCTTTGGTTCTAAACATTACCATCCAATACAGTAGCCACCAGCCCCTGTGGCCGTTAACATTTAATTAATTAAAATAAAATTAATTTAGAAATTTCATTCTCCAGTTGTACTAGCGCTGCTTCAAGTGTTTAGTAGTTCCAGGTGGCTAATGGCCATCCATAGGACAGCATAGAAGGAGAACATTTCCATCATCACAGAAAGTTCTAGTGCACAGCACTGATGTTGAGTTTAACAGAAAGAAAATGAGCTTTTCCACCATGGTTCTTTCTGGTGTGAGAAGAGGTGTGCTGTTGGCAGGGAGCTGTGCTTGCTGATTTCATGGCTGCTTTGTCCTAGTTTTCTTCTGCCAATATTTGCCCCACAGGCTCACTCTGATCTCTGCCGCTAACCTCTGTCTGTCTGACAGCCTGTCCATGCCTCATATTCAGTTCCAATGTTACTTTCTTCTCTGGGCCTTGATGACTTCTCATCTCCTTCCTCTCATCATGCTTGGCAAATCATCAATAGCATCTCCCCACAGCCTAGATTGTGTTGTATAAAGATCATCTCTGCATTGGTTGGAACTGTTTTAAGGGCCGAGGGCAGGGACCACCTGTTCATTTCTCTATCCTCCCAAATCCCAGCACAGTGCTTTGCAATTACTGTGTGTCCTAGAGTTGTCTAAGAATCAATCTGATATCCCCACCGGCTCAATGGCTCACTGAAATGAACAAACTCCTAACAGTGCTTTAATCCAGAGTGTCCTATTGGTTTCCTTGAGGAGGAAGAAAACTGACAGGCCCCACCCCACCCCACCCCTCCGCCCCTCAGGGGCCCTGACTTGACATGGTGTTGGGGGACTTGACATTGTGTTGGGTGAGAAAAAGAGCTGATTCCCCAAGCAGAGCTGTACTAGACAGGCAGGAGATAGACCAAGCAACTCACCTGGAAAGTTTCCATCAGGTAAGTTAAACACTTGACTAATTATTTCACCTTGTGTTAAAGCATTTTTTGACATTTGGTTCTCAGGGGAACCCTGTGAGCTGGACACTTTTTTATCCCTGCTATAGATGGGGTAACTGAGTCTCCCAGAGGGTAGTGGTCTCTGCAGTTGACAGCATGCCTTCAGAGAGGAGAGCAGAGCTGTACCATCAGCAGCTGGCTTCCAGCATCTCCTCCAGCTGGACCAGGCTTCTGGGAAGCCAAGGAGGGAACGGTACTGCAGAAGCCTGGAATGGGGTGGAGCGATGGAGGGACCATCTGGGCTGAGCCGGTATGGATGAGTTGATGGGTTCCAGCGAAGTCCCAGAAGAGATGGCTCCCAGGACCCCACCTCCGTAAACCCCTCATGGTCCCCCTTTGGCAATGCCCACCCTCACCCTGAGGAGCCCGTGTGCTGTAGCTGAGGTGCCAGTTTGGGGCAGGCCCCAGTGACCTCTCCCTCTGGCTTTCTTCTGTCCAGAGAAGGCCCTGGGGCCTTACCCTGCCATCAGGAAGAGGACATGAATGAGAATGAATTTAAAGCCTGCACAGAGTGGCCTAAATAGCACCTGTGAATTTCCCATCCATGGCAGGGGTCCCAGGAATCAGAGATGGAGACATATGCTGACTGGTCTTCTCCCCCAAAGACCCCTCTGTACTGAGGGTTTCCTGTAGCCCTTGGCCTCACCCGGCTTCTCTCTAGGGGAAGAACTCCTCCTTTCCCTTAGTCAGGCACACTGGTCAGTGTGCACTGAAGTGTTCTCCGTGCAGAGGGCCCCAGGGGCCATGTGGGCCCAGTGTGGGCCCAGGACTTGGCGCCTGTGGAAACTGGTGACTTGGCTGGCCCCTTCTGCTGGACCAGAGCTCCCGCGGCATGCAAAGTGTGACAGCTGGCAAGGACCAGCGAGTCATTAGAGCCCCTGACAGGGGCCCTGTGGGCTGTCTCAAGGGGAGGCAGCTGCCATGGCCTCCCACATTCAGGACATATTTGGGGAGGAACTCGCGCCCGCCATAACAACCTCTCTTGTCTTTACCCAAAGGGGCTTGTGTGTGTGTCAGGGATTCCTTTCCCCCTGAGGAGGTATCAGGCTTCCCTTTCCTTGTCTAGAAACCTAAAGCATTCCCCCAATGCTGTCACCCACCCTTGCTTTGGGTTAAGAAGCTGGGACCTTTGAAATGGCAAAGAGTGGAGACCTGAAGCCTCAGCGACCATGTGAAGGACATGTGTGTTTGGGGAGTGTGTTTCCACCCCTCTGCGAACACAGACAGGCTGTGCGGCTACAAAGCCTGCCCGCCACTCAAGCCCCTGTTGTCACTCGGGACACTGTGCCCTCACAGAAGGCCAGCTAAGAAGAAAAGGTCATCTCTGCTAAAAGATGCTGTTAAAACTGACCAGTGCTTGTACCTGTAATGAAACACTGGAATTTAGTTCTTAAAGCGCTTCCTTCTTCGCAGTAGGGCAAAATTCTTTGAAAAGTTTAAATTACCCAAGAGTTGTTGAAATTTATGCTATTGCTTTGAGCAGTGGCAGCCACACCTAATGTTTGCCCACTATTAGGTACCCCCAGCCCATCCAAATATCACAGTGCCTGGGACACAGAGACAGGCAAGGGGCAGTGGAGAGAGGGCACTTGGCTTCTTGCTGGCACAGGAGTGGAATGGAGGAAGTGAATGCAGAGGGGAGACCGGAATACCCTTTGGCAAGTATTCTTGGATGGAGCAGAGCTACTGAGGGACAGTTGGTCCCTTCTCACTTGGGGACCATCTTGACAGAATCTAAGTCACACTTAGAAACAGTTCAGGTTATAAACACAGAATATGAATTCTGTTCGCTTTCAAAAGGAACGCAAATTAATCAAGTCATTGTGAATGGACACGGTGTATAGAGTGGCTTACAAAGGTGTTTTGAAGCCCCATAATTGTCACCAGTATCCTCACATCCAGGGTGTAGTGGCCCAGGTGGTATAGGGTTCTCTGTGCTCATTAAAACCCCGGAGCTGATCAAATGTAGTAAGTGTATTTGACAAATATTATGGGGAGGTTTACTTTGTTTTATTTTTAATAAATGTCATGTGTACCTGGTTTTAATAAAGTTCACTACTTAAGATTACTTCTGAGTCCACATTTGTCCTATTACTTTTTTTTGTGGGAAAAATAATTAAAGGAAAGAAAAGGAGGAAAAGAGATTAGGTGGCATCGGAGTAGTTTTTCAGTTTCCTTTTAATAACCAAAGATTGATTTGGCTTTTGGTGACAAAGTTCAAGCAGATGGGCATATGATTTAGTTTTTCATTCAGGGTGACCTAACAGAAACAGACATTTTTATTGCTTCCCTGGGTACCAGGTACTGAATTCTACAATTCATAGAGCTCTATAATAATAATAATAGTAATACTACATATGAATACCTCTCTCTCTGTATATTTGAAAAGGTCTTTTCCTTAAAAGAAACTTCAAATAATCATTGCAAAAAGCATTACAAAAAGAGAAGTACACTTTTTTGTTTTAAAGATGGTTGGAGACAGTATTACAAGCTCAAAGCATATTGGTGGGATTTTAGGCAGAGAAATGGAATGTGACTAACAGAGATCCTCCAAGTAAGTGTGAGAAAATACCGTGAACTAAGATATGTATATATTAGCACATGGAACTTGGTGTCTGAAGAGTTGGTTTGGGGCAGAACAAAAATATTCTCTGAGTCTCCCTGAAGTCAGTGGCTGAAGCCAAATGCTCCAAAGGCTTACACTGACACAATGAAAAGAGACAATTTGCTTGGAAGGCTGTGGCTAA